AAAAGCTAGCAAAACTGACGTGCCAAAGTGAAAAATTATCTCCCAATAATTTGAATTTAACTTTTTTTGTCTGTTTTACCTGATCAAGAATCAAGGTATCATAGTATCCAACTGAAAATAGTAGATACACTGTTGGTGGGAATGGCAGATTGGTACAGCAACTATGGCATATAGTACAGAAGTTCCTCAAAAAAATAAAAATGTAACTACTGTATGATCCAGCAATTCCACTTCTGGGTATATATCTGAAGGAAATGAAATCCTATGATCATTCCAGCATTATTTACAATAGCCAAGACATGGAAACAACCTGAGTGTCCACGAATGGATGAACAAATAAAGAAAATGTGGAGATGTAAATACAATGGAATATTATTCAGCCATAAAAAAGGAAATCCTACCATTTATGATAACATGGATGAACTCTGAGGGCATTATGCTAAGTGAAAAAGTCAGAGAAAGACAAATACTGTATGATCTCACTTACAGGTGGAATCTAAAAGAACCAAACTCAGAAACATAGAAGAGACTGGGGGAGGCGGGGGGGAGACGGATGGAGGCGGTCTAAGGATACAAAATTCTAGTTAGAAATAGTGGTACTTCTCGGGATGTAATGTACAGCATGGTGACTTCAGTTAACAACACTACAACACTGAACGTTGCTAACAAAGTTAGATTTTTAAAGTTCTCACCACACACACACAAAATTGTAACTCTGTGAGCTGATGGATGTGTTAACTAACCTTATCATGGTAATCATTTCGCAATATATACATATATAAAATCACTACATTGTACATCTTAATGTCATATGTCAAGTATATCTCAATAAAGCTAGAAGGAAAAAAAAAGAAAGAAAATAGTGGAAAGAAATTAATATGCCAAACACAGCAAACTTTAGAAATCAGTATCCTACGCTAAAGAAGCCCATAAGGGAAATCTGGCTGCACACAGCTGTGTAATAAATCAATTTGTTACCGTGACAGTCATCTAAAAAGTAGAGTAACGGTTGATAGACAACAAAGAAGTCAGATTAGACACAGTGGCAATATATAATAAAGCACCACAAGCTTTTTGTTTTGTTTTTTATTTTATAACAAGTCTGTTAAATCATTCATTGGGAAATAAATGATTCAAGATAAACTTCCAGAAGCATTATTCTAACTTTGACATCATTAATCAGTCAATAAATTTTTGAAAGGTTTTCAAAAATGCATTTATTTAACAAATACTATGGAACCACATTGTGTGTGCACTATTGTCACAGATGCCAAGAATTCAATGATAAGCAAAAACTGAAATGCTGCCTTTATGGAGGAGGGAGACAGATATTAGTCCTAAAACAGTAACAGAAATAAATAGAAAATCAATACTATTATAAGAGCTACAAGATATATAATGCCATGACAGTATCTACTAATAAAATCTGGGTAACCTGGGAAAGGAAAGGCAATGACACTGGAATGGGAGAGGTGAAGAAAGAATAAGAATTAAGTGTGTCTGTGTGTGTATGGGGGAGGGGGTTCACTAGCATGTGGCAACAGTAAGTGCAAAGGCCCTGAGGCAGTAAGTTACTAAAAGTGTATTATGCTGAGGTCCTAAGGACAAAATAAAGATAACTTCAGAGATAAGCAGCAGTGGCAAAAAAGAGCTGATTGTGACCACGCATGAGATTAAACCTTAGCTAGTGACAAATTCTACACAATACCCAATTTCTCAATAAAATCTCATTCTTCTCAGACCAAACAATCTGAATATAGACCCATCCCCCTAAGAGAAGGAAACACAGTATTTAAGAGTTTATTTTTATCCTCAAGGTTATCATTCACTGCTGGGTTTGTTCTTAATGACATTTTCAAAGGTATCTATACACTTAATCTGAGTATTAAAACCAATTCAGAAAAATAAAAAGAAAAAATATTTAGCTGTGCTTTCTATCTTAAAGAAACAAATGAGCATAAAAATTTACCATCCAAAATCTAATAATACACTGAAGAAATCCCTTATGATGCCCCATAGGATTCCTACCTAAACATTTAAAATACAACTATGCATAAAGAATTCCTGCAATCTGGGAGGATAATGGTTTTTTATCACTAACAAAAGATGTATTGTAGTACTTTGCACCAAGAAAAGAAAAAGACCAGAAAGGAAAACAAAGGAGAGAAAAAAATCAAGTCCCACCTGGGGATCTAATCACAGTACCCTACTTCTGATTCTTCAGTTCAGGCAAACCTAAAGAATAGGCAATATTCAACAAACTAGCATCTAGAAAGAAGCTATTTGGGGAAGGCAACCAAGTAATTTAGCTTCAAATGCATCCTCCAAAAAGAAAAGAAACCACAGAGAAGGTGAAAGATACTCTCCTTACCAAAGAGTCAAACATCCATTGGACCTGGCAGGGTGCAAACCCCAGGCCACAGCACTGTCACCCACCCACGCACAAGGGGTGCCCCGCACGGAGAGGTTATGCCCTGAGTGCCACAGAAAACTTTCAAACCATTTTTGGTTTTCATAGCTCCTTTATAACATATTTAGCTTTCAGAGAGGTCATATCTTTTTTACATTTCACAAAGGTCCTCAGGCTGACTGAAACAATGCCTGCCTCCATAAACACACAGTCCTTCCCCAAATGCTTAAGAACTGACTGTTTTGTAAATAAGCCCTTAGCAACCTCCCTCCACATATTCTTCCAAACATCAAGCAGGAAGGATTTCCTATCATTCTGCAGAAGGTGCACTATGAATGTACAACAGTTCCCAAACTAGTTTTCTCAAAACTGGCTTTTCTCAGGGAGATATTTAACAGAAACAGCGTGTCATAGTTCCATAAATGGGAAAAACAGCAGGGTTTTTTTTTTTTTTTTTTAACATTAAAGAGGTTTCCGTAACTGCAGGACTTCTCAGAGTCATTAATTATGAATCTCTCACAAGAGGGACAGTAGGTGCAGCATTTCCCACACGTATTTGATGACAAATACTTTGAGGATGTAGCCCCACTGACACGGGAGTAACCATCCCACTGAGCAAGGCTGGCATTCAACACCGCACCAGGCAGTTGGCCTTTTGACAATGATCCAAACAATCACAAGACCACATTGAACAGTTATGTATCAAGATAAAAGGATAACAAAGAAGATCTTTCCCTATTTTTAAGTTATCATACTATAATCTATAGCTAAAGGAGTTAACACATTCTGTTTCTTTCTCATGATCTAGAACTAAATAGGTCCATAGCAAGCAATGTGTGGTAACTCTATAATGAAATATTCTTCAGAGGCTAAGAAATTCTTACTGTCCAATATCAAAGTCTGAATCAAATATACTAACAGTATTGTAACCTACATGTTACTAAATCTCACTAATTTCTCTAAAACCTCAACTTTGATAATATTATATCACATAAATATCTTCTCAGTTACTCACCAACCAAGAAATTGTAGTTGTGAATACAATTTTATTTGTATCAGTTCTAATATTGATGATCTTTTAAAATTCAAAACTAATTCCTATACCAGGGGAAAAAATCTGGTACTTAATGGGAAGTTCAGAACAGTTACAATACTCCTCAGTAAAATGCCTGTACCAGGTTAACATAACATAACATAATCTCTTTAACCTGCCTTTCCTGAAAAAAACATCAAACTGGGAGGCTTTTAATCTGTTAATCACACCTCATATGAAATTCGTCATTCTTCAGCACAGCAAGTAATTCAAACAAAATGATTTTAGCTAGTTTTACTAATTTCTGTAAGAAAACTATCTGGTTTTTTTTTTTTTTTTTTTTTGAGGAAGATTAGCCCTGAGCTAACATTTGCTGCCAATCCTCCTCTTTTTTTCTGAGGAAGACTGGCCCTGAGCTAACATCCGTGCCCATCTTCCTCTACTTTATATGTGGGACGCCTACCACAGCACGGCTTTCCACCCGGTGCCATGTCCACACCCAGGATCCGAACCAGCAAACCCCAGGCCACCCAAGCAGAACATGCACATTTAACTGCTGCGCCACTGGGCCAGCCCCAAAAACTATCTTAATATACACAATACATCAAGTGAAAAAGGAAGATTTGTTGGTGTCCAACAGGTTCCGAATCACTTGTTCCCCTGCATCTCATCTGAAAGCCAGGTCTGTCTCTCTCTGAACAATGCTATACAATTCAATATACTGAATGAACATAGTACATTTTCGGAAAACAAAGCAGGTTAGTCGGCTTCATCTATTATCATTGATTAGAGAGCCTTAAGCTCAAATTTTTGGAAAAAGAGGTTATCAGGAGAAATAAACCTTGGTCTAAAAGCCATTAAAAATACCTCTCTAGCTTCTGATCACTTCTGTAGCCAATGTAAAATGTCCTGCTTCCAGGAATCCTAAAGGTTTACTTGTCCCACCATGTATTCCACTCTGCAGGGTCATTACATCCTAATTTTTGCTGAAGATAAAAAGCAAGGAGAGGGCCAGCCAGGTGGCGCAGTGGTTAAGTGCGCACATTCCGCTTTGGTGGCCTGGGGTTCACTGGTTCGGATCCCAGATGCGGACATAGCACCGCCTGGCAAGCCATGCTGTGGTAGGCTTCCCCCGTATAAAGTAGAGGAAGATGGGCACGGATGTTAGCTCAGAGCGACTCTTCTCAGCAAAAAAGGATTGGCAGATGTTAGCTCAGGGCTAATCTTCCTGGGGGAGCGGGGGAGGTGGGGGAAGGAGGAAGTCAAAAAACAAACACTACTGAGCAAAATAGTGAAGTGAGATAACAAGCAGCATGAGAAAACAAGGAGAGTACTGAAAAATGCACAAGCCAGGACAGAAGACCAAGCTGAGGCAGACACAGCAGGAAGTGTATAATCCAACTGACCAAAAGCGGGTCTACATTGAGTTTTCCTACCCAAAACCACTATCTGCTCTTCTGGGTTCCATGCCTTCCTTAACATGTGAAGAGGTATCTAAGTGCTGGTATCATTTCTCCACCACAAATACTGTACGGACCCAAATGCAACACTCCTTACCTCCTGGTCTATAGACAACATCATCCTCAGTGATGTAGGATGTTATCTCACCAGTATCCGTCCTTTCATAACGAGACTTTTTTTTCGGTGGTTTCTTTTTGTTCTTCTTCGTGGACTCCTCTGTGGTGGCACTATTGTTGTCATTGTCCTCATCTTCAGTGTGATCACTCTCAGCATAATTTCTGGCTCCCCCTTCCAAGGTACAGCTCCTGCGTGGCCTTGAATTCTCACTCTCTCTTGCTTTGTCCCTTTTCTCTCTCTCTCGGTCCCGATCTCGGTCCCGGTCCTTCTCTTTGTCTTTGTCTTTGTCTTTGTCGGCTGTCATGATTCGCCACGTGCCTTCTTCTGTCCTCTCACGGCTAGGCCTCCGTGAAAGGTAGACAGTAAGCCTGGGCTTCAGTCTTCTGAATTTCTCACTCAATTCCAGGGAAAATCCAACCACTCCAACAACCCCAATGTTTCAAAAATGCTAGGAGAGAAAACAGAGAGAGAAAAATCGATTTTACTTTAACATTTTCTCATATTTCCTTCCTAATATAATGTTTTGTTAAATGAATCTCTTACTTACTCATGCTTTAGCCCTGAAAACGTCTCACAGGCCATAGAAAAAAAGTTAGGACACGTGATATAAAATTTAAATATATATAGTCTTTTACCTCAGCTGGCATATGGTTTGGGATTTTCTAGCACACCAATAATGGAAAATGTCTTAATTCATAAGAGTTAATTATACTTTCTGTACACCAACTGTTTTCTCCTTTTCAAGGAAAAAGTGTTCCCTAGTAGACAACATACTATGGCTACAATTATAAATAAGGAGCTTCACAATCCACAATATTAATTTAAAAGGGAAAAACCTGCAGTAAAAATTATTTCCACCTAAAAAAAATTTGGATAGTCTTGGAAGATTTTCCAAGATGTCTCATACTATACTCTTCTGAAGACACTTTCTAGCCACTTCTCCAAATTTCCAGAGCTCCTCTCAAAAATAAATGAGTTGACTCAAAACTGATAACCTCAAAGCAAGATTCTTTTGCTTTCAATTATAATTTTTGACATCTTATAAGTCTACTATTTTAGTTATATTCCAGGAAAAATGATTTCTCTAAAGATATATTCTCTCTGCCTTAACAAAACATAACAACTTCCAAAAACAACCTTCTATCTTTAGGGAATATTAGGTGGTTTTTACCTTCCCCCAAATTTCCACTATTAATCTCCTCCCTAGAACTAAACCCAACAAGGAAAGTCTGATGTTTTAAAGAGTTTACAATGAGAAGAGTGAACTCCAACCCAACACAATCTTATAAAAATTTTATAGGAGGAAAAAAACTGTTTTGTTTACAAATAAGTTTTACAATAGTCATAATAACCAGTAATTTATCTTTCGCCATCATCTTCAATATCTCATCTCATTTGCTCAACAATCTGCACCAAACACTATCTATGCATCAGGTTCGGAACTAAAGACACAGTGAGGGGGAAACTCATGGTCCTTGCCTTCAATGCTCTAACACAAAAAAAAGTAGACAACTGATTAATGTGAGAACCATCTGTTTCGCATGTTACTAGAACCAGATAGGAAATAACATATATAGACACACAAAAGACTGGTCCTCTTTACTTAGACAACAAGAGACAAATCAGTTTGCAATTATATGCCTCAGATACAGAGAAAAGTCTCTTTGGTCATGCCAAAACCATGAAAACTAACACGTACTCTCTCCAAAATTCTTCAGTCACACCTGATACCAGAAAAGACCGCCCCATAAGCACTTCAAATATCCTTAGGCATTATTAAAAATTAGGAAAATTAAAAATGTTAACAACGTTTGGGAGATAGACCAATGAAGGAACAACAATGCTGACAATCTATAATCAAAGTCAGAAAGATAAAAGCATGTAGCACAAACCTAGATTGCTTCCTTTTGCATAGGAAATATGTTTTCAGATAGGATTTCAATTTTCTAAACATATTTCAAGAAAATGAAAAGTTATTCTAGTGCCTGCAAAAGTTCTGCCTAGACGAATCATCTACTAAACAGAAAGTAATAAACTTTCAAGTCATGGCAGGACACTAGTGTTAGCAATTGAAAATACAAAGAGAGACATATTACTTTCTCCACTGGGCTTAAGATTAGAGCACGAAGAAGCCAATCATACAAGAAAGAAAACTATCAGCTAACACAGTTGTTAAAACATCCTCTTTAACAATGAAAACATACCAACCAAGGTCTACTGGGAGTCTAAAAAGAACAAGGAGCTTAGGCTGAAAACCTCTCGGATGCAGTTCAGAACAGACGTACTTCTGATAAATTTAAGAAAAAAGATCATTCTCTCTAGGGTTAACAAGATAACTCCTCCAGAAAATTGTGTAAAAATATTTCAGCACTCAAAAGGGAAAAAATAAGAAGTCTAAATGATATATTCAATACTACTCACTACAAAATCATATACTGTGTTTCTATTTACAAAGAAATCTGAGTTACTTCTGCCAAGACAGAGAAGAAAGGAAACTTCAAGAAACAATAGAGAAGGCATCCACAAAATGAAATCGTGTGTGTATGTGTATCCAACTTTCAGATAACTAAGAACATTGATAATCCATTAATTTACATGTGGCTGTAAAACGTAGCTCAGTGGGGATACATGTTTTCCTCTGCATTTACCATACTAATCATAATTTTTCTGAGCCTCATTATACAATGACCAACATACAACAATATTAAGGAAAGGGACCCAGAGAGGTACCAGATGGCACTGAGAAGGGCAGTTGTTATTTCAATTTGCTAGAAACGATCTACAGGGCAGACAATACAACAACAGTATCTTTATAACAACAAGGGGTTTACAAAGCAGGTCCCTGCCATGATCTCATTAGATTCTTTCTCTCAACAACTCAGTGAAGTGAACCAGAGAGAAGTCACCATCCCCACTTCACAGACTACAGAAGGGAAACTAAGAAGAGAGAATCCACACAAGTCCACACAGCCAATGATGCTGATCTGACTCCTGTGTAAGATCACTCTGGCCATTGAGAAAAAAACCTGAAGGGAGACGGAGGCTACAGCAGGAAGGGAGACTGGTGAGGTAGGAGGCTTATGCAATAACCCAGGTAAGAGTTGAAGGTAACAGGATGGACTGGATGGTAGTGGTAGAGATGCAGGGAAGTGTTATGTTCTATGTATTTTTAAGATGTAGAGTCAAACAGGATGTGCTGACAAACTGAGAGCTGAGGTGTGAGAGAAAGAAGTCAAGAACGACTCCAACGGTTCTGCATGAGCAACCGGATGGATGAAGCTGACATCATATGAGTTTTAGGGGAAAGAGAAGAAGCTCAGGTATGAACATGTTAAGTTCGAGAAGCCTATAAAAACCACAAAATGATTTTAAGTAGGCAGAGGTCCTGGCTGGAGATAAACATTTAGTTTTTAATTGTGGGTTTGTTTTTGTTTTTTTTTAAGATTGCCACCTGAGCTAACATCTGTTGTCAATGTTTCTTTCTTTCTTTCTTTCTTCTTCTCCCCAAAGCTCCCCAGTACATAACTGTATATTCTAGCTACAGGTCCCTCTATTTGTGCTATGTGGGACACTGCCTCAGCATGGCTTAATGAGCGGCAATTTAGTTCTTAAAGCCATGAGACTGAGATCGATGACCAAGGAACTGAGTGTGAATAGCTTTTCTGACAAAAATTTTAAAACCCACAAAAACATCTATTAATCATGCTTGAAAGGAGAGGATATTCAAAGCAGACTTAAAAATTATACATTTCCAAAAGCAATACCCTTAGCACTCACTAAAAAAACATATATTCCTCTCACTAGTTTCCACATTTACCCTATTACACTTTCACCATTTTATTGTAATTGATCAAATTTGGTCAGCTAGCTTAGTTTTGTTTTAACCTAATCAGGGTCAAAGGCCTTCAACAGAGTCAATGATACAGAACTATTCCTCATTACTTGCGGGTACTTCAACCCCTACAAATATCCTGTGCCTCTTCAAAATGAAGCCAACCACCACCCACACACACCTCACACGACTTAGAACTGATTCAGATGAAGTGCTAAAATTTCGGTCATGCTCAGGGTCCAAACCTCATTTAAGAAAACCACTTCCTGTCACTCTTTCAGCAGTCCCAAGAGATTTGGCCCCATGACAGAAGTGTAAGAATATTGGACTGAGAAGCCAAGATCCAAGTTTTTGGCACTGCCATGTGCGATCCTGCCTTGAGCAAATCACTCCACCTCTCTGAATCAGTTGCACTGCTGTAAAACAGGGAAAATAACTAGCTACTTCACAGAGCTGGTGTGAGAATTAATTATTTGTTGTTAGTGCAATGGAGTCGATTCCGACTCCTGGTGCCTGTGTACAGCAGAGCAGAACCCTGCTTGATCATTTTGCATCATCCGCTCATCTTCCAGTGCTGTATCAGACAAATGCTCTGCTGCTATTCATAGAGTTTCCAGGGCCAATATTTTCAGAAGTGGGTGGCCAGGTCCTTCTTCCTAGTCTGTCTTAGTCTAGAAGCTCTGCTGAAACCTGTCCACCATGTGTGACCCTGCTGGTACTTCAAATACGAGTGGCATGGCTTTCAGCATCACAGCAACATGCAGCTACCTCGGTATGACAACTGACAGACAGCTGGTGTGGTTCCCTGACGGGGAAAAGAACTCAGGTCCCAGCAATGACTGTGCCAATTCTTAACCACTAAACCACCAGGTAATTAAGTATGTCATATGAAAATGCACTTATAGATTGTGAAGTGCTTTACAAATGTAAACTATCAATAACATATACTTAGATCAGTCATGACTTATTATCTACTACAGTAGATAATACTCAATAGTATACTGTGCTACGCAAGAGATAAACATAGCCAAACATCATCTCTACCCTCAAGAGCTTATTATCTACTCGGGGCGGGGGGGAGGGGGGGGGGTCGTATTGCACAATCAAGAACTAAATCGTGTAAAACTGACTCAAATGAAGTAAAAATACAAAAATATCTTCTCCTGGATCACATGAAACTCACCTATTCATGAAAATTTGTCCCTCCCTCCTGAGTTCTAATCATCTTAGTTGCTTAAGCCAGATTCTGCAGGACACTTGAATCCCCCAACAAATGCTGCTAGTGAGGTCCAACTAATTCTTCTTCAGTCAACCACAGCAAGAAATACTTATGTTTGTCAAACACTCAGCTACACACCAGGCATTTTGCTCAGCTGTTAGCTAAGCATTTTGCTTAGCTCTACCAATCATATCCTGAAAATCTCTATAATTTATCCATTGCTCCAAGTGAAACATAAATTGCCTTTTTCAAGCCATCATCATCTTTCACACAGATCAATACAACTGCCCTCTAACTGGTCCCTGTGAATGTAAAATTTTGTTCATTTTTGCCTTCCTTCCAATTCATCCTCCAATGTGACCAGCCAGCATATCTGACATTCTACCACTTTTTTAAA